GGGGGGGGGGGGGGGGGTGGCGGGAGCCGTGCCAGGTGCAGGGTCTGCTGGCTGGGTGCTGGCAGGCTTGCACCTGGCACGGGCACCGTAGCCAGTCCGTGCCCCTTTAAGGGGTCCGGGGCCGGGAGGGGGGCATACGAGTTTCCCTGGTGTTGGCCAGAGTGGCCACCAGGGAAACCTGGGGAGGGCTAGCCTCCCAATAGTTTGAATTAAGGGGCTACACACCCCTTAATTCGAACTAGCTAGTTCGAACTAGGCTTAATCCTCGTAAAATGAGGTTTTCCTAGTTCGAACTAAGCGCTCCGCTAGTTCGATTTAAATTCGAACTAGCGGAGCACTACTGTAGCGCCTATGAATGTTAGTTCGAACTAACGTCCGTTAGTTTGAACTAACATTGTAGTGTAGACATACCCTTAGGTTTCTATGATATTTTCCTTAGTTCCCAATCTGACCTGTGTTCTGAAAACTTTCAGGCTCCTAATATTTCTTTATGCAGAGGATAATGTCTGCTATGGACCCTAGTAGTCATAAACCTGTTTTTCAAGGAGTTGGGCTCTTACAGGAAAGAAAAATGATGTGTTAAACATTAGCCAGGTAGATGGAAGGAGCTACAAATTGTGACAAGCATTAATTACAGAGAGAACATGGTAAATGCTTTATAAACAATGGTAGTCAGTCATATTGCAACTAGTAATACAGGTCCCATGGATTGTCCTAAGAGTGTGCTACAAGTGGTTTATGTTCTAGCCAAGTTCTCTCTGGCTATGTTCAGAGAAATCCTAGGACTCACAGAGCTTAGCCCTCCATAGAGTTACCGCCTGTGCAGGTTTTTCTCAGAATTGTCCCCTTTTTGAAGTAGCTCGCCTTATAAGTCTGTAAACACTGTCTTATGGACTCAGGATCACCCTAACTACCCCATCATCGGTACCTCAGAGGTGGCTGGTGCCTAATTTGTCCTGGGGCTAGCCAGAGCTGAGCTCCGGCACCTCTAGTTTTGGCAATTCATAGACCCCGGCACCTTTGGGCCTGCTGCGTCAGTTAGGAAAGTAAAAAAAAATTCCTGGAGCTTCAGTACCTACTTGCTTCAGCCCTGGAACCTCTTCCATAGAATCATAGAACTAGAAGGGACCTCAAGAGGTCATCGAATCCAGTCCCCTTCCCTCATGGCAGGACCAAGCACTGTCTAGACCATCTCTAATCTGGTCTATCTAACCTGCTCTTAAATATCTCCAGTGATGGAGATTCCACAACCTCCTTATGCAATTTATTCCAGTGTTTGACTACCCTGACAGTTAGGAAGTTTTTCCTAATGTCCAACCTAAACCTCCCTTGCTGCAGTTTAAGCCCATTGCTTCTTGTCCCATCCTCAGAGGCCAAGGAAAACAATTTTTCTCCCTCCTCCTTGTAACACCCTTTTGGATACTTTAAAACCACTATTTTGTCCCCTCTCAGTCATTACAAATTAAGCACTGGAGGTGGCGATACAATGCTACCTCTTGATGAAAATGGGAGATAGAAACTGGTATCCCCAGGAAGGTGGCCAAAATCAGAATTCTCCCAACTAATGTGGGGAGGACCTTCTTGCAGAAAGAGAAACAGGAATTCCATGGTGTATATCACTGGAGTGCGTAAAGGTGGCAGAAACACAGTTGCAGTGGACAAGACAAGTACTCCTGTCAAGATGGATTTGCTAGCAGCTGCTCCTTATGGGAGGCTGAAGAATCACAGGAATCACTTGCATGAATTCATGGCTGAGGGAAGGTGAGTAAGTTGGAGAGGGAGAAGGAGAGGAAATAAGTGGAGGGTGGGGCCTGGCTAGGGAGCACTCCTAGGTTTTCAACCTCCGCTTGGCCACTATTCATTTGACACACAGGGGAACAAAATTGGGAACACTGGTGAGTGTGTGTCTTGACACGCTGTCAGGGAGCATCCAGAGGACAGAGAGGGAGCCTCATGCCTCCCACTCTTCTTTGCTCCCAATGTGCTGAGAGATTTAAGATTTGTCTCCCACCCCTGCCATGGCACAAGGATGAGGAGGGTGGAAATTAGTGCTACTCTCTTGCCCATGAGAAGCATTCCACATGGAGTCACAGGGAGCTTGGCAGCAGGACTCTCACACAGGTTTGAGTGCAAGGTATTCTGTTGAATTCAGAGGAGTTACTCTCCAGTTACATCAATGTAAACAGGTCAGAATCAGATCCCTTGCACTGACTGCACAGCACTTTTTTTTTCTTTCTTTCTGGTTCTGCTAAGTGACGGCCTCTCCAAAGGAATTAGAGGCAAATTCTCAGTGCACAGGCAGCTCATGTCTTAACAAGGGCCTACCAGGAAAACAGTGTCCTTTTAGCAATGCTGATACAAACCAGGAGTATGTGCTGGAGGCAGGAGGCTCGGGAGACTGGGAAATGAATTTGTTTGTTCCCTCTTTTAAACAAAAAAAGCTCTTTCACACTCATAGCCCAGGAGAGAGGCAACAGCACTTGGCAAAGACATTGGTTTTAACTGCACTTTGCCTGAAATGTTTATCCTTCCTTCCCAATAGGTCTGTGGAAAATATTGTTCTGCATCATTCCGTTTATTGGGGGTGATGATCTCGTGGCACTGGGACCGTCCTAGGCTATCGTCCCTGGAAACATCTCCATGGAGTCATGGGCCAGCTGGGAAGTTTGGCTCTGGATCTGATGGATTTTACCTTGGTGCTGACGGCTGCTTCCTTTTGTCTTTCTTAGCCTCACTTCCCTGGTCTGTCACACCTGCTTTAAAAGGCAGGAGAAGCTCCACCGCTGTGGCCAGTGTAAGTTTGCCCACTACTGTGATCGCACCTGCCAGAAGGATGCCTGGCTGAACCACAAACATGAGTGCTCTGCCATCAAGGCACATGGGAAAGTGCCCAACGAAAACATCAGGTGTGAGCGACGTTTTGACCGGGCGGGGGG